ATACAGACATACATACATATAATGGGAAAAGGGAACATAAGGGATAAATTATGCAAGACCAAAGGGAGCCCTGGCAGCCCTCCCTCCTTCCACCAAAGGTTCATATAGATCAGTGAAATATCATAAAAATTCATGAGGTTTGGGGAAAGTGTGAAAAAGACCTAGAGAAGTCCATAAGAGTCCATGGGGAGGACACTGGAGTCAATGGGAGCAATGAGAATTCAGTGTCCATTCATAAAACAGGAGTTTCATTCATGAAAAAGGAATCCAATTAATAAATAAATAGCCAATATTGATCAGAAGCTAGTTTGGATCACAGGGGCGTTGCCATGTGGGGCCATGGAAAAAGCCTTAGGTTCCCACATGGGGAAGAGATAGGGGATTATTATTGTATTGTCGAAGGCTTTCATGGCCGGAATCACTGGGTTGTTGTAGGTTTTTTCCGGGCTATATGGCCATGTTCTAGAGGCATTCTCTCCTGACGTTTTACCTGCATCTATGGCAAGCATCCTCACTACCTCTGAGGATGTTTGCCATAGATGCAGGCGAAACGTCAGGAGAGAATGCCTCTAGACCATGACTATATAGCCCGGAAAAAAACCTACAACCTGATTATTTATTTATTTATTTCTCAAACTTATATGCCGCCACTCCCCTGGGGCTCGGAGCGGCTTACAAAAACAGGCTAAAATCTAACACAATTTAAAACAATTTAAAAACAGCAATATCAAAGATCAAAGGCCTGTCGAAACAGATATGTCTTACATGCCCTGCGGAAAGCTGATAAGTCCCGCAAGGCATGGACTTCAGGTGGCAGAGTATTCCAGAGCGATGGTGCCACTGCTGTAAAGGCTCTGCGTCTGGTTGCTGTTAGACGCAAGGTCTTGACATTGGGAATTTCCAACAAATCTTGGTCCTCGAACGGAGGGATCTCTGGGGTTGGTAGGGGATGAGGCGGTCCCTCAGATACATCGGCCCCAGACCATGCAAGGTCTTAAAGGTGAGTACCATCACTTTGAAAGTGATCCAGTGCTCAATTGGTAATCAATGCAGCTGTAGTAAGATTGGTGTTATGTGGCATCTCATCGGAATTCCCGCAAGAAGCCGAGCAGCTGCATTTTGTAACCAACCTGAGCTTCCGGATCACCGACAGAGGAAGGCCAATGTAGAGGGCGTTACAGTAGTCCAGTCTTGAGATGACCGTAGCCTGGATCACCGTAGCTAGGTCATCCCTGGACAGGTAGGGGGCCAGCTGTCTAGCCTGCTGCTGATGAAAGAAGGCGGTTCTGCTAATGGCGGAGACCTGGGCCTCCATCGTCAGCAGAGGGCCCAAAAGGACTCCCAGACTCTTTACCAATGATGACGGGCGTAGCACCTCACCATCCAGGGTAGGCAGCTGGATATCCCCACTGCCCGGTTGACCCATGGGATCATTCCAGTCTGATGTCTTTGGCAAAATCCTGAATTCCCTGACTTTGAACCATCTTTTACAGAGTTCTGGGCGGCGGCAGGGGGTGGGGGGTTACCTTTGACTTCAATAGCAGTTCAAGTGATGCCAAGCTTCCATAATTTTACAGTGTAGATCAGAGCTTTCCAAACATTTCATGTTGGTGACACGCTTTTCAAATATGCATCATTTTGTGATGTGGTAATTCAGTTTTACTTCACTTCACTTTATTTCTTAATTAGTCGCTCTCCACCAAGGTGCTCCGAGCGACTTACAATCTAAAATAGCATTTACACAATATAAAAAAAACAACAACATAAAAACATTCAACAGTGACTATTTGGCAAATTAGATCTGATTACTTAAATGCACAACCAAACAGCCAAGTCTTGAGTGCCTTTACAAAAGGTCGCAACTCCAACATTGCTCTAATGTATGGAGGCAATGAGTTCCACAGAATTGGAGCATAGGTCGAAAAAGCTCTACGCCTTGTAGCTTCCAGGTGTACCTCCCTAGGGCCCGGTATGTATAAGAGATTTTCCTGGGTGGATCGAGGTGACCACTGATGGAGAAAAGGAATGAGGTGGTCACTAAGATATAAAGATCCTTGGCCATTTAGAGCTCTAAAAGTCAGGATCAGTATCTTGTAAGAGATCCGATGTTCTATTGGTAGCCAATGCAATTGTTGCAGAATCGGTGTAATATGGGATCTTATAGATGTTCCTGCTAGCAGCCTGGCCGCTGCATTTTGGACCATCCGAATCTTCTGGGTTGTTGACTTCGGAAGGCCGGCATATAAGGCATTGCAATAGTCCAACCTCATTGTGACTGTTGCGTGGATTACTGTTTTACTAGAAAACTGGGGGTTAAGACAACCTTTTATAAGAGATACAGGCACATATATAAATTGTAATAACTATATGTTTGGAGACACAATATGTCTCATGAAGACATTTCTCATATTGACATTTTAGTTACATTTGTGCAACACACCTATGCACTGCAATTGACACACTAACATGTCACGACACACAGTTTGGAGAGCTCTGGTGTAGATGATGAATCCTGGCATCAGCAAGCATCATTTAATCTTTGAACAAATTAATACATTTCAAGCTGCTGTCTTTGGAAAGCCCTGCTCCCCTTTTATTGTTTTTGGTGTCATTTAGAGTTCCTTGCATGTTTTCTTTTGCTACTAAGGTCAGTTTCCGCAGTAACTGATGTATGTGTTTACTTAGCTCCCTCCGGTGACTTGAACAGCAAATAAAGTCAGCAAAAAGCTGTAGTTCCAGATACTGCTATAGAAGTTACTGCAAAAAAAGAGAATAAACACTATCGCTAGATTGGTGTGGAGCGCTGAATTGTTTTTTTTGCAAGGCGCTGACTAAGGAACAAGTCACAGCAGCCAGCCTTCATAACGTAGCATCTCTGCTACTATTTTTATCCTGTTTCTTGAAATTATTCCTTGAGGAGTTGAGGCTCAATCTGTCAGATCAAGAAGTCTTACTCCAAGCCAGAATTCAGTTAAAGCACAGCCTGTTTCAATGGCTAGCCTCAAAATAGGCAGAACTGCTGCACAAGGTCAGCAGTTAGAAACAGTAGCATTGATACTAACATATTAGTATTAAGACATTCATAGAATCATAGAATCAAAGAGTTGGAAGAGACATCATGGGCCATCTAGTCCAACCCCCCTGCCAAGAAGCAGGAATATTGCATTCAAATCACCCCTGACAGATGGCCATCCAGCCTCTGCTTAAAAGCTTCCAAAGAAGGAGCCTCCACCACACTCCGGGGCAGAGAGTTCCACTGCTGAACGGCTCTCACAGTCAGGAAGTTCTTCCTAATGTTCAGATGGAATCTCCTCTCTTGTAGTTTGAAGCCATTGTTTCATGTCCTAGTCTCCAGGGAAGCAGAAAACAAGCTTGCTCCCTCCTCCCTGTGGCTTCCTCTCACATATTTATACATGGCTATCATATCTCCTCTCAGCCTTCTCTTCTTCAGGCTAAACATGCCAAGCTCCTTAAGCCGCTCTTCATAGGGCTTGTTCTCTTAATGGGAATTAATCTCCTAGCATGAAAACTGGAAGAGAAACTAATAGTCTTAACTTGTTGCATTACCTTTTAATTAATGCCTAAGCAAAACTTTAGTGTATAAAAAAATTAATATCCATTAAAATCACCAAAATCCTACAAAATAGCAACAACCTCCATTAACCTTCATGGAATCAACTACATTAATGTGAAACACTAACTGTTGTTCAAGAAAGCAATATTGATGACATATAATAGATAGAAATATTTTTTACGGCTGTATACTATTATAAAATTATATTGGTGCTTAACATGGTGCTTAATTTAATGAATGTTAAACTTTTCTGTCATCAGTTCTGTCACATTTATATTTTCTTTGAACCGCCTTTGCTCTATTTGGAAAACATTTTTGAAATGCTTAGCAAATTTTGAGATTTTTTAAACGCATTCAAACTCTGCAAAGACCTTTGGACATGCACTTTTTCTCCGAAATGTTGGGAAAATACACACATGTTGATTTAACACAAAGATATTTTCCAGTCTTATCTGGAAAAACAAATATCATACCTACTCTTCAAGGAATACAGTATCCAAAGTTGTTCAAGGATTTTGTTGGAAGAGATCAGGTACAAATAAACTTGTTCTGAAGATGCATGCAAGTTTCTTTTGTGGTTGTTGTGTGCCGTCAAGAGACTTCTGATTTATGGCAACACCAAGGGAGTTTATTCAAAAGGGGATTGCCTTTGCCTTCCTGTGAGGATGAAAGGGTGTGATGTGCTCAAGATCGCCCAGTGGGTTTCCATTGCAAGGATTGCCCTCCTGAGTCCAACTCTTTAGGAGGAGAGGGCTTTAAAATGCTCAGAGTGGTCTTGGGTCTTACTAAATGACAAGACCCAGAATTCTACAGGAGGCAGCCACAAGATTTCAGATGCAATACATACTCTTTTCCTATTCATTAAGCCCTAGTGGAGCCCCCAGTGGCGCAGTGGGTTAAAGCCCTGTGCCAGCAGGACTGCAGACTGACAGGTCACAGGTTCGAATCCAGGGAGAGGTGAATGAGCTCTCTCTATCAGCTCCAGCTCCTCATGCGGGGACATGAGAGAAGCCTCCCACAAGGATGATAAAACATCAAAATCATCCAGGCGTCCCCTGGGCAACGTCCTTGCAGATGGCCAATTCTCTCACAACAGGACGCTCCTGACACGACCAAAAAAAAAAAAAAGCCCTAGTAGCCTCATCACACTTACCAATTTAAGCATCCTGCCAGCTAGTTGAGGGACGGATGGGCACGCAGCCCATCACATGACGTCACTCAGCTTCCGGTGGAGGCCTCCCCCCTAACTGGTGTGGAAGCATCCTCCAACATGAGAAGGTAGGAAAGCACCTCCCCTGTGTGATGGGGGAAGCATTGCTGTACCGGAGATGGCAAAACAGCACAGGTGTATGTGTGTGTGATACGGTCCCTAGTGTAATAACCTACTTAAACTACTACACCCTGCTGGCTCAAAGAAGGCAAGCAAGCCATTCGGCCTGTGTCCTTCTGGTCTCCTCAGCAGAAGAAGACAGAATTGTCATCAACAGCCATCAGAAGATCCACCAACATGGTGGGTGGGAACATCTGTGGCTAGGCGCCCTGCTCACTCCTTAGTGCACAGAAGAAAATACTTTGCCTTCTCCTCATGGATCAGACAAACCATCACTTTTGAGTGCACCTTTCTAGAAAGTTGTTCTAGAAATGATCCCTTGAACTCCAGTTGCCTAGAGGGCCTTTGGCCTTTGCAGAGCTTCAATTTTTGGACCATCACCTTATGGCTGCTGATCTCACTTACTGCTTCTTTCCCAGACCTAGCCCTCTTTCTTTAGATATCTTAAATATTGTTGCTTCAGGCAGAAAAATAAGTATCACACAGCCGCCCCCCCCCTCGCCGTACATTTCCACTTTAGGGGGGAGAATGAGGATTTCCACACTTTTGTACTATAATAAGGTACAACAAATAGCTTGCCTATTTTATTATGGGAAGAGTCTCAAGTGTGTGGTTGCCTTCCAGTGATGTTTCTCCAGGGACCTGGAAATTTTAGAAAGTGGAGTCCACTTACTGCTGCTGTGTGCTCCAATTCACCAAGGAAGAAAATCACACAGACATCTCTCCATGGGAAAAATACTATAATAGTAAATTAAATAACTAAGATGTGACTGCTGTTTTGTGACTACACAGGTCACCACCTAACTCTGATAAATGATAGGGCCGGCTATGTGAAAGGGACTGAGCAAACTGCAAGTGGGGAACACAGAGAGAATGGACCAATTCAAGGCCTGAGTTGCACCACCATGAGATATGTAATGGTGGCACATGTAGTTCACATCAATCACACAGAAAACCGAGTGAGAAAGTGATCAATTTCAAGAGTAAAAAAAGACACATAGGTTTGGAATCCACTATCATCCCATACATTTGAATTTCTTATAGACTTCCTCTTGAATTTTTTTTCCAGCTCAGGCTATTTACAACATAATGAAAAGGAAGATTGCAAAGTAGTCTTAGTCAGTAATTCCCAGATGCCTGCTGTTGTAGCCTGGTCAGATTCTGAGTGCTCAGAAGATAAGGAATGGGACACAGGGATAGATTTGGAGGGCCCAGGGGAGGATAGAAGTGTCCCGGAGAGAGTTGTTTTGGAATCTCCTGGCAGTTCCCATGAGACTGGAGACAGTGATATCAGTTCTCATGAGATTCTGCCATAAGTGCAGGCTGAGAGAAATGTGGGAGATGAATGTTTGTCCAGATCAAGGTGCTTGGAACTTCAGAGGCAAAGTGTACAACAGAGGCAAACTTGTTTTTCCCAGTGGCTTAGAGATAAGGAGAGGAAAAGCAGGTGTGTGAGGAATGATGTCATGGGAGGGTTTGAGGCCTTTTAAGGAGCCCCTGGTGGTGCAGTGGGTTAAAGCACTGAGCTGCTGAGCTTGTTGATTGAAAGGTCGCAAGTTCGATTCCGGGGAGCGGCGTGAGCTTCCGCTGTCAGCTCTAGCTTCTGCCAACCTAGCAGTTCGAAAACATGCAAATGTGAGTAGATGAATAGGTACCGCTCCGGTGGGAAGGTAACGGCGCTCCATGCAGTCATGCCGGCCACATGACCTGGGAGGTATCTACGGACAACGCTGGCTCTTCGGCTTAGAAGTGGAGATGAGCACCACACCTCAGAGTCAGACATGACTGGACTTAATGTCAGGGGACTACCTTTACCTTTACCTTTAAGTGGGTTTCTGCTGGTACAATCCTTTGAGAGAGCAAATTGTATTCAGGTGAACAGCTCTTGGTTCCTGGTCCTATATCTGTGTATTCAAGTTTCCAAGTGTGTTCCTGATTCTAGTTTCATGTGTGACATAGGTTGCCTACCTTGGATTAATGCTATCATTTTTATAGATATATCTGGGAATTGACTCTTAAGACTATATTTGAAAGGATTTTGCAATCTTAGCTGTCCTGGAAATAACTGTTTGACTTTGATTCTCTGTTTTAGATTTGCTTATTTTTATATACTCTTCTCTTAATAAACCTTTACTTACTGGATTACCTGGATACAGTGTGGTTTGTGGTGAAAAGGTATTTCAGGGCTCTAGTGCAACACCTGCTGTGTTCAGTAATTCTTATTCACAATTGTGGCTTCCATTTTGGTGGATCAGTGCAATTTCTTGGGTTTTAGTTACAATGTTTAAATATTTATTAAAACATATTTTCATCCAAAGTACTATAACATAAATCTCCAATGGTTTCAACACTTTAAATTGTATCTTTAAAGTTCAGACTAAAAATCAATGGATTCAGTGTCCTGCTGACATGGAAATAACACGTGTAATGTTGTGCTCTTAAATATGGATATCCCACTGTGACTATTGCAGATGTGTGTTGATGGACCTAGTTTTACAGCTGTCCCATTCTATCTGATCATAAGAGGACATGATTGGAGGACATTCTACATTCCATGCCATCAGCAAGTGTGCATATGTGTATGTTGAGGAAAGAAAGAATCACTTGTTTTTTCAAGCTCTTTAAAAATATCTTTCATGATGGTTGCCTAATGAATTATTTATCCATTTTTGGAGCCTGTGTTCACAGCAATTTTGATTTGACAAGATCAGCACTTTTATTCAGGTATTTATTCAAGACATTAAATGCAAATCCAACATATTTTGCATCTGATGTTAACAATTTGCATTGCGGTTCTAAACAGGATTGAATAAATCTCAAGCGGTTTTGCTCAGGAGAGTGGGTGTGCACTCACTTAAGGATCCATTATATCCCCCATGCTTTTTGATTTTAAATAGTTTTTATTAAGTTTTCAAAAGTACAATATTAAAATCACAAATATTAAATTAGAAAAGAAATAATAATGATGATGATGATAATAATAATAATAATAAATAACTAATAATAATAATAGAATAATAAAAGAGAGAAGAAAAAGAGAGAGAGAAAAAGAACCATACAAAAGACACCAGCCAAGACAATTGGCAACAAGTGAATTGTTAAGACTTCCACTCTTCTCTATCATGATAGTCTACTAATACAATTAATCCGTTCTTCCGAGTATTTCCTTTTCCTATTTACGAGCGTCAGTAGTTTCCTATTTCTTTCCTTTTTTTCTTCTGTTCTTCTATTCTTTTTCTTCTTCTTTTGTCTACATGTCCCCCATGCTTTTTAACATCTACATGAAACCGCAGGGAGAGGTCATCTGGAGTTTTGGAGTACGGTGTCATCTCTATGCAGATGACACCCGACTCCACTACTCATTTTGACCAGACTCCAAGGAAGCCCCGAGGATAGTGGACCAGTGCCTGGCCGCTGTGACGATCTGGATGAGGAGGAACAAGCTGAGGATCAATCCTTACAAGACAGAGGCCCTCCAGGTCAGTCGCCCTTCTAATTGGGGTATTGGGTGGCAACCTGTGCTGGACGGGGTTGCACTCCCCCTGGTCACAGGTCTGCAGTTTGGGGGTTCTCTTGGACTCAGCGCTGTCGCTTGATGAGAAGGTGTTGGCGGTGGCCAACACTTGTGCTCCAACTGTGACCATACCTCGTGAAGTCTGACTTGACCATGGTGGTCCATGCCTTAGTTACCTCTAGACTGGACTATTGCATTGCTCTCTACGTGGGGCTACCCTTGAAGACGGCCCGGAAATTACAACTTGTCCAACGGTCGGCAGCCAGATTAATAACTGGGGCAACTTACAGGGAGTGGTCAACCCCCCTGTTTAAGGAGCTCCATTGGCTGCTGTTCATCTTCCGGTCCCAATTCAAGGTACGGGTTCTTACCTATAAAGCCCCAAACTGTTTGGGACCTGCCTACCTTCATGACCGCATCTCTCTCCATGAACCAGCCCATGCCCTTTGATCTTCAGGCCTCCTTTCGCCCTTGCCAGTCTCTCAGACTTGCCTTGTGGGTACAAGGGAGAGCACCTTCTCCTCTGTGGCCCCTGACTCTGAAATTCACTGCCCAGAGAGATTAGGAAAGCCCCTACTTTGGAAACTTTTAAAAAGAGTTGTAAGACCTGGCTCTGCCGTCGCGCTTTCAAAGAGTAGCCACATAATTTTATGCTAGTGCTCCTCCAACGTTCTTGTCCCAGGAGTCCTCCCCACCCCATACGAAGGTTGGCTTATTTTCCTATCTCTCTATGATTTAGTTCTGCCCCCTTATGTCACCCGGAGTTTGAGAAACATTTTATGTACATGCGGCCCACCCTTTGTCTTTCTGTCATTATGTTTAGTTCCTATGTTTTGTGTATATTGTTTTATATGCTTTAATGTTTTATATTTTAATGTTATGTTGTTTATTTTATTGCAATTTGTATTGTTATATTGTAATTCTTGTTCGGACTTGGCCCCATGTAAGCCGCTCCGAGTTCCCTTTGGGGAGATGGTGGCGGGGTATAAATAAAGATTATTATTATTATTATTATAACAGTAATTCATGAAAACTTTTGTCATCTAGGTCAGATGACAATGAGAATATGGTGGACCAACTGTTGATGTGATCATGGGTTCCACGAAGGCCAACAAACTGAAACTAAATCCTCACAAAATGAGAACACTGTGAACAGGTATTTTTGGGTTTAGGAAGCTATATTATTTTTTACTGGAAGAATTGTGTCAGTTTTGTTTTCAAGTTGTTGTTTAGTTTATACTCCCTAAGCCCCGTAGTGACTTGGTGAATGATATGCTTGATCTTTTCTGAGTTATAGTCTAGGTTTCCACAGAACTATCTGAGGTGTTGAACACTGTCTTCCAAATACGATCAGCATCTTGGATAGTTCCCTTAATGTGTTTTCAATGTTGGATTGTGTTCTTCATTGTGCTGCTAAATGAAAACATCCAGATGTGTTTCTAATTAACTAAAATGGCTGAAATAAACTAAAGGCACTTGATCCTATCTCATCTTGGAAGATAAGCAAGGTCAGGTCTGGTTACTACTTGGATGGAGACCACCAATAAATGCCAGGTGTTGTAGGCTATATACCAGAGGAAAGAACTGGCAAAAACCCCTCTGAATATTCCTTGCTAAAGAAAACCCAATGAAATTCATGGTGTCTCAAAAAAACCCAACAGTCAACTTATTTTATTTATTTATCGTGTCATCAGCAACCATACCATTGTATTACATTTCTAACAGAACAAAACAAAGAGATTTTAAAAAACACAGATTTTGCAAACTTATTAGTTGATTAAATTTCCTTTGACCAGTATCTGGCCACTTGGAATG